CTCGCACACATAAACGGAGTATTCGATCTTTAAATGGTCTGTCCTCTACCTGTCGTGTGCGAGAGCATCGGCCGACTTGCCACATCCGTCTTGGATTTCACCACTGCGGATGCCAAAGGAAGCCAACACCCAAATAATCCTTTAAGAGTAGTACACTTAATGCACTTGAGTGCCAATGCCTCCTTTCTTTCGAGGTGAACATTCTCATTGTTTTATTTCCCAACTTCAATCATCATTTTCTACATCAATCTTTTTTTGAAATAACCTGCTCACATTGTGATGCGCTTCAACACTATGACTTTGTAGGTTGTAAAATATTCCATTACATTTTTTCAAGTTATAAATGTGGTGGCTAGTTCCTTGTTAACCACAATAAACTCAATTTGTGAGGATTAAAAACCAACACAGTTTCCGACAATTAATCTAATTTTTATCGTTGCAGGCGTGAAGCGCACTTCTGTGTTCTCGCTGAGAACTGCGATGAGCCTATGTACGTGAAACTTGTGGAAGCCCTCTGCAATGAGCACAACATCCCACTCATCAAAGTCGCCGACAAGAAGATCATTGGCGAATGGTGTGGACTTTGCAAGTATGACAAAGAAGGGAAAGCACGCAAGGTTGTCGGATGCTCATGCGCTGTAGTCAAAGACTACGGAAATGAGGAGCAAGGCAAACAAGTTTTGCAGCAGTACTTTGACTCAAAGAAGTGATTGTTAATTGTTGAAATAAATTGTTTTGTTGTTTTATTAAAATCTTTTGTTAAGCGTTTTCTTAGGAACGTGCTAATCTACCTATCTTTCTGCTATTGAATGAACGCGCAACTTCAAAAGGATTATTAAGTGAATGAGAGGAAAGATTTACAAGATGGCTTTGACTAATACGCATGGCTTCATTTTAATAAACTATTTCAAGTTGAACATAAAAGGAGCTGAGCATTTTTGAGTGGTCACAGAGTTCTTCCAAAGAGTCATTTTTAGGTATTTTATTTGAAAATCTTTATAGTGCTCCGGTTATAGCCGGTAAAGCAATGAGTAGTAATCAATGTTTTGCAAGGGAAATACTTAAATACAAGTAATTAAGAGGCAGTGGTTCTTCGCTTTACCATGTCATGGAATAGAGTCTCTTCTTCATTTATTGTTTGTCTAAAT